CCATCCATCCATCCAACTCAATCGCAATTTAGTTTTGGAGTCAAGTATGATACTAGTGACTACAGATCCGGTCTGTTTAAATAACCCAAGCGCATAGCATAAAGATATCAAAATCATTGAAATAAGTTAAGTTGGTGTTGAGTTGAGTTAAGTTGGGTTGAGTTGAGTTAAGTGGAGGTGAAAATAGTGTTATTATATGTATAGACTTTATAAGTAAAGCGATGTGCTATTATGAATAAACCTTGGTATGCTATGCTATCTATTTAGTTATCTCTTATTAGGGGCAGACTTGTTATTAAGAGTGTGGCTGCCTTGAACTGCAGCCTTCCAGGCATTGCGCGTGACAGCTCCACCCCAGCCTAGTTTTTGGCCTTTAGCCGGATTAGTAGCTGAACTACTAGCAGTTGATAAGGAAGTCGTTGCCGGAGGAGGAGGAGCCGATGCTACAAACGGCGGAAATTCAATGTTTCTTTTGATTTTACCCAAATTACCATCGATATCTTTCATCCGATCAGGAAGTAAAAACGTGCGAACTCTCATTACAAAATCAAAACAGGACTGATTACCAATCAATGCACGTACTTCATCAACTAGTTGCAACAAACTTATCTTCGACTCATTGTACTCCGTCGTTAACCTAACTATTTCGGCCGGCGATCTGTACTCGCGCTCAATCCATGCCGTATACTTCTCCCTCAATGTGCGCTGCTTAGCAATTGCTTCCCGATTAAGATAGTCTGGAACAGCTGCTACCACAACCGGGGCACTAGGTTTACTCGACTTCTTAGTTAGTCCAGCACTTCCCTTCCCTGGCATTGGCTGAGTATAAGTAAGCTTAACCTTCTCCTCTTTCTTAGCTGGATGTAAAGAAGCCCGATGCGCGGCCAGTTCTACCTCATCTATAAAGGCGTAGCATTTAGCTTCTATACACATCTTCTCAGTACAAGTGAAATGCGACTTCACCAAGTGTTTCTCTAATTCACGGTAGTTTTTATAGTACTCATGTCTCTTCCCCAAGCGCTCGCACAGATAGCACAGTTCATGAACTTTACGACAATGCTTCACCAGTACGTCCTGAGTATAAAACCGTTCGCGACAAAAAGCACACTTAGGATGACCATCAACTGGACCCGTTCCATTACAGTGCTGCATAAGTCCAGCCTCAGTATAAACCACATACTCAGCCGGAAATTCACATCTATATTCCACACACAATTCACAAAGTCGCCGCTTATGCTTACTCACATAATGCCCCAGTAAAGATTGCGTATCATAAAACTCAGTAGCACACATTTGACAAGCCCGTCGCAAGATTTCTTCAATCACCGGCAAGTCTTCATCCACACAAACAATACAATTCGCCCATAAATAATCATCCCTAGTCCTTCTAAACCGGTCAATTTCGGGATCTTTAATGACTTTGAACATCATTTCAGTTTCGGCAATTTCTTTCAAACAAATCGGACATCCAGACTTATTAGAAATAAACTTATAACGTAACGCACATTTTAAACAACAAACATGATTGCATTCTGTAATTGCCCATTCCTTAACACTATCATCATTATAGCAGATAACACATTTAGACCCAGTATTCATAAAATATTTACCATTAGTTTTTCATATTCAATCTAATTCCAATGCAATTCACTGAAAATCCCGAAGATCTAATCATAACAAAAGAATTACCCTATTTGGTAGTCGGCCAACCGGACCAAATTGAAAAGATAGTTGCGATAAATTTGAAGATATTCCCAGTTAGATATCCCAATGATTTTTATCAAAAGCTAGTTACCGAAAAAAACATTAGAACATACTTGTTATGGAATGATAAAGATAAGGAATATATTGGTATTTTATCTATTCGTTTGGCTTTGCCTTGTTTTGACCGTATTTTCAATCCTAATGATGGACGTTGTCGTGAGCCGTGTATGTCCTGTCAAAAACGCTCAGATATTGAGGCTAGAGATAGTTTAGACCGTTTTGCTTATGTGATCTTACTTGGACTGGTTCCAGAACAGCAGGGGAAAGGTCTAGGTAAGATTTTAGTAGATAAGACTGAAGAAATATGCCGAGAAAATGGAATTGATCATATTGTCCTTCATGTTCAGACATGTAACAACCAAGCAATTATGTTTTACTATAAGCTAGGCTTTAAACTTGTTAAATATGTAAAGGACTATTATTACAATGTATCTCCCAAAGATGCCTTTTTATTGAGGAAGTGTTTATACTCATCGTAACAATAAAGATGCGCTATTTGGCCAGGGTCTTTTCTATCTCTTCGAGCTTCTTTTTCAAGAGGAAGACTTCCCGAAGTACATCAGTTTGCATTTTGTAAACGGAGTCCTTGAAGGATTCGAATGATTTGTACAGGTGATCTATTTCCGCGCCGGTTTTAGTGGCTTGGTGGGGATCATGGGGGAAAGAGCCCTGTCGATGTTGTGGAGGAGGTGCCGTGGCATAGGGCGGTGGTGGTGCTAAAGTAGGATTGATCGTATGCATGTAAGGATGGCTGTTGATAGGATTGTGATGGCTTGGATTGTGATGGTTTGGGTTGTGATGAGTGGGTTGGTTGGAGTTGGAGTTGGGATTGGGGTTAGGATGAATAGGGGGAGGCGGATGGGTGGGTTTAGGCTCTAGAGTAAGATGGGAGGAAATATCAGGAATAATGTAGATTTGGGCTGGTGATCGGGTGGTGGCTGATGAATTTTTAGAGGTGTAGACATGAGAAAGAGTGCCAGTTGTAGGTGAGTAGAGAAGAACATTTGTTGATGAGAATAAAACAACCTGGCCGTTTTTAAGAGGTTGACAAGCCGTGTATTTAGGACCAAGAAGAACTGTTCTTTTAAGAAGACGGTTATTAAGATAATCTATATCAATGAGTTCATTATTATCAGTAAGAACAAACAAAACAGAAGGAGTAGGTTTCCAAAAAGTAATGGCACAGATAGAGTGGCCAAAACTCTTCATGCTTTTAATCATCTCCATTTTCCGGGCATCAAAAACATAGATATTACCTTTAAGACAACTAACAGTTATATGCTTAGATTGTTCAAAAGGAACTACACAAGCTGAATGAACGTTAATGTCTATCTTCAAACGAACTTTAGTGTAAAGATTAGTGGTGAGATCTAATCTATGTAGAACCTTTTGACAAACAACAACTAATGTTTGCTGGCAGATAAGAATATTAGCATGTTCAATTGGTTCATCACATTCAATCACACTCTTTTTCTCAGCTGTACAGATATCTATAGTTGAAACTGTATGGCCAGATACGTAAACAACAGTGGTATCAAAAAGACAAAACTCAGAGACGGGTCCAATAATCCTATCTTCTCGGCCTTGAAGAATTCGAACTACAAAAAGAACACTATCAACTGAATGACCAATAAGGACTCCGCGCTTGAGCAGATGTTCGTTGGATTGGAGTTTAATGTACTTGTTTCTAAGGAGATAGCGTGAAATCTTGCCATTTAAGGTAATATGTAAGTCGAAATCTTGGAGTTCTAACTGAGCAAAGATCTTATCTTTATCTTTAGCTATTTCTAAGTCGGCAGTTGCTTTGTTATGGAGATGTAAGTCAGTCATTGGATTAATCTTGGGTTAGTAGCAATAAAATTTAAATTAGTACTAGGTTGCTATCTAGGTGATTTTAGGGGTATTCTGGGGTGATGGAGTTGATTAAGATGGATTTACTCTTTTGGGATGATTAGATATTGAGTTTAATGGTTTATTTTGGTCTTATTACCTAAAAAGGAGTATTGTAATTGGCTACTAAAAAAGGAAAATAATGGGAGTTAGTATGACGTAATTTCTTTTTGAGTTTAGCGAATGTCTTTGCGATCTGATCTAAGTACGGTGGTAGAAGACTTGCCTAAAAGACTTAAGGGGGTGATTAAATCTATTGAGATGGTTGGGTTGGCGATTAATGAGTATACAATTGGGGTGGAGTCGCAGGAGGAGCCGGAATTCTGTATGGCGGTACGACTGGGTATACCCGGAGAAGTACTGACTCGGCCTTATTCGCCGGTGCGGTGTTCGGGGTCGGAAATTGTGTGTATTATTAAGTTGTATCCCTTGGTGCCGGGTCGGGCTCAGTTCACACCGGCTTTGCAAGGCTGTAGTGTTGGGGATATTCTGGATGTTATTTGGTATACGCCTAAGCAGGCGATAGGAGAAATTCTAGGAAGTACGTACCAGGATGTGGTGATGGTTAGTGCGGGTACGGGTGTGGCTCCTATGATGCAGGTGCTTGAGCAGGCTAACCGCTTAGAGACTAAGCATCGGTTTTTATCGGTCAGTTTTAATCGGGGGGTGGATAGTTTCATTTTAAAGGAAGCCAGTCGGTATCCTAAAGTGGACTTAGAAATTAAGGACGTAGTAACTAATGATAGTCCCGATGAAAGAGAGCGGGCGATTGGGCAGCTGTTGATGTATCTGAAAGAAAGAGAGAGTGAGCGGACGCTTTACTTGGTGTGCGGCCCGGACTCGTTTGTGGAGAGGGTGGCTGGCCCAAGGAAGGTGGCTTATGGAGGACTTTTAGCCGATATGGGTGTGCCTGAGTCCCGCTGCATTAAGTTCTAATTGGGTTAGAATAGTTAAGATAGTTGGGATAGTTAGACTTGGTGGAGTACTGAGATGAGTTAGATAAGACGAATAAAGCCTGTTGTTTCTTGATAAGATCAGTCATAAACTATTGCAACTTATTCAAAACGCTCTCTCGTTAAGCTTAAGGAAATGATTGTTTATATTTCCTATCTGTAGATATCGGTAAGTAGCCAAATAGCTATGATACGCAATTTTGATATTCAAGATAGTTTGTTCTTGAGGATCAATAAGTCATTGTAAGAAGATTGGGTTAGTATTGGGTTAGACTTTTATGTGGTGCTGTATGGCCTATGGATATATAACCCAGCTAATGATAAGATTTCCTTTACGGCCAACATATTCCTATTTATTTGATCGGGTTAGTGTTTATCAACTGATGGTTTGATATCGACTTTGATCATTTTGGGTGGGACCAGCTCGCCGGGTGGACTTTGTGGTCTGTTCTTGGGCGGAAAGACTGGTGGAACTTTGGGTGGTGCTTTGAGTGGGGAATGATAGTCGGGAAGAGATGTCGGTTGTTGTGGCGGATAAGTCAGTTGTCGCACTGGTGGAGAATGAAAGGGGCTTCTTTTGAGCAGGGGCGGTGGAATGGTCTTTTTCATCACTGCTCGAGATCGAGGAGTAACTATCATCACTAGTAGCGCTGTTTGCTTCATCGTTATCATCTGTTGAGGCTGATGGTTCTTCTTTGGCATTTGTTGCACCTTGGTTTGAATGAGCTGAAAGACTGGTTGAAGATCCAGAAGGAGTTAGTTTGCCTGAGGCAGCGCTAACTAAGGTAGATTCGGTTAGAGTAGATTCAGATGGAGTAGGTTCCGGTGAAGTAGATCCAGGTGAAGTAGATCCAGGTGAAGTAGATTCAGGTGAAGTGGGTTCCGGTGAAGTAGAGTTGCCTTGTTGAACCTCGGCTGGGATAGATTCAGATGGTGTAGATTCAGTGAGAGCTAATTTGGCAGGATTGGGTTGAAGATTTGGTCTAGTCGTGTCATTGCGGGATCCACTTCTAGATGGGGTTGTAGAATGGATACTTTTTGTGGTAGGCTTTCCGACCACCGAAGTCGGCGTGCTGTTTTTCTTATATGATTGGTTGGCCGTTAGATCGTACTGAGTTATTACACCAGAGGCCTCTCGGATTTTGAGGATGGTCAATGGGTAGGCCGTTGCTGTTTGAGAGGATGCATCTAGATTTGAACTGGAACCTGGAGTATCGGGCTTGGACATGTACTTAATTATGTCATCAACCTGGCTTTCCGTGAATGCCTGATCAGCGACAATTTCAATAGACTTGGCCTTCTGATTTAGTGCCGATATCAGGCTTAGCACCATCTCAAAGGTGGTTGTTGTGAGAATTTGGTGGGCCAGATATAGATGGACATTCTTACCAGCGAAGGCATTTAAGGGACCATACCCAGAAAATGAAGAGCTCCTAGAGCTAGTGGAGTTGGGGTTAGATTGATTGGCTCCTGTAGATCCGCTGGTCAAAAGCGTGGTGCTGGACTCGGCATCTGGTTCAGAAGGATGTAGACCCCAACTAATCATTGTGGTCCGGGAGAGATTATATATGTGAATGTCTAGGATGTTGGTGAGGTTTGAGGGGGCCAGTAGCTCTTTAACATTTGGAGATGATGAATCCACAGCAAATGGCATGCCAAGTTGGTAAAGTCGGTCAATATCAGCTTTATGCTTTGTGTAAGTTGGGTAGTCCATAATAATATGAAGCTTTGATAGAACGGCTTTAAGGTTTTCGTCAATCGTGAGGTCGGCAATAGAGAACGATCTGATAATGGGATCATTGAAGGTAATCCTTTCAACGCCTAAGGGAGAGTTGTTAGTGCCGTCGGCATTTGTTTCAGTGGAGTTGGAAGAACTGCTAGTGGAAGCTATGGTGTCAATGAATGTTCTTAGGTGATACAAGGCGGCGTAGTAGACGTTTACGGATTTAATCCAGTCAAATGTCCTGATTTTCTGGAGCAAATTGGCGAGTAACGGAGAATCAACTTGAAATAACTCTATGGTAGTAAGTTTCTTTGAGGCGTCTAGTGTGGTGGGTACTTTTGGAATGGTTATAAGACTTTCCGTCGGCTCTATAAATCTGATATTGGTGGAGGCACCAGTGTTTGGATTCTGGCTGGATCTAGAAGATGAGGAAAACATGGATCTTAACCCGCACAATCTAGAGCATGGTTTAGATTCCTCCTCCAATTCGAGTTCATCACCAAGCCAAACAAGGATTGTATCAATCTTCCTAGTGGCAAAGCAGTCAATGAGTAAAGCTAAGACTGTGTAATAATGATTTGGATCTGAGAGTTTTTCATGATGTCCAGCAAGTTCAACTATAGAATACTGGATCGGATTGGCGGGATTGGATTCATAACAGTTCTCTATAATATCAGCTATGCGAGATTCTTCTAGCATCTTGTCTAAATCTAAGCAGCAAACCTTTTGGCTGTTGTTGGCAAAAGGTGTGGGTGTAATCGGATTTCTTCCAAACTCAAGGAATCGGTTATATAGGTGTATCGTTTTCATGTCGGCACGGAAAGCTTCAATAACGCTTTCTGAGTATTTAAAGATGATCGGAGTAGCTGAGATTATACCTGACTTAGACGATAATTGTCGATATCTAGTTTCGTTGCCAATTAGGTAGGCGCTTAATGTTAGCACTAGATTCTTCGTATGAATGAATGGCTTACTGGGCTTGGAGTCTGCGAGGATTCGATTGGCGACCGAAGCATTTTTAAGAGCCCAATCATGAAAACCAGTGATCGTTAAAGCCTCAAGCCCTTTGATACGAATATTGTTGGAGGAGAAATGGCCGAGCGTGTCGTAATCAATAGTGAGCATAAGGCCGTCTAAATCTACTTTTGATTTAGACCTAGACGAGTCATCAATGTCACGCAAACCTTCTGGTGAAGATATAACAACATGCAAGTTCTTCTTTGGTACTTTTAGTTGCTTAATACATTTCAATCTCTCGACGATTGTTTCTAACTTTGTTAGTGGAGGGTTAGAGATTGTGAGTGTGCAAACCTTATCAGTTTCCCATGGCAATAGCTTAATCCACTCTAAATTGGAATCAAGCGCATAGTGCCATAAACTAAGCGAGATAAGACTAATATGGTTCATCTTGGCTAATTTGTGAGCAATATACTCTAAAAAGCACGGACTGCAGTTACTTGCATCAAGGGTAAGAGAGTTTGGGAGACTGCCTATAGAAGCTATTCTTGACCGGGTTCTTGTTTCAGTGCTGGATGATCTAGATTTCCTTATTGAGCTAGTCCGAGATTTCAGTATCTTTGGGTCTATTCCACAAAAATCGGCTAAATTCAACCAGTTGTAGCCAATAGTTAAAATATTGTCCAGCAAATGATCTAGAGCTTCAAGATAGCTATCTGTGATAGGGCCAGAACTTTTGCGACCGTCTTCCAATCGGATTTTAGTGTATTTTCTCTTAACTGGACCAATATGAGCTAACAGGTCATTATTGGATTGGGGAGTTAAGTTAGAATTTAGCGTAAGCACCAAAATTGCCCCATTACATAACTCTTCTGCACTGAATGGCTGATCAGAGATGCTAGATTGTTTGCTAATATTGGGAGATGATGCAGTAGATTTGGCGGGAGTTACACCAGCAATCAAAATAGTCCAGAGAATGAGAGCAACAAAATGCAAAGATCGATAGATCTTCAATCGTTGAGAATACGTAGAGGTCAAAGGATTTTGTTTTTCCTTAGAGACAGTGAATGTCATAAATTTTAAACTTTGATCAAGTATTTAACCGGAGTTTTTTTCCTTATTGGGAAATTTTCCTTATTAGGCAACTTTTATTTGAAATTTTAGGATTTCATTGGGTTAAACATTGAGTATATTATTGGCAATCCTAGCAGCTGCTGGTTAATTTGTAGATTCCATGTGTCTCCGTTATTTGAAGATGATCAATTAACATGAAATAATAAACCAATACCAACTCCAGCAAATCGTCTAATGATAGCGTTAAAATCTCATTTATAATAAAGTCATGTTAGTGTATGTTGTGTCATTCTAGGCGATGATAAGTTATAGGGTATGCCAAAATACAAAAAGATAGCACTGGAAGGTAAAGATAAGTTTGGATTTATTGGGTTAATGCTAGTACTAGCACCCAGTTATTGAAGATTATATTAGGCCGACGGGGCACGAGACTAGAGATGCGTTTTGAGATTCAGCTCCTACTGATCCCGCGGTTGAGGAGGCGGTTGGTGAGTCCCTTGGCCTTTGCTTCTTGGCAAATAGATATTGCATCTCGATGGGCGCACGGATTGTGAGGTTATTATACCGCCTGTACAGATTTGAGACATATAGTGCTATTCGGTTGTGGTTGACAGAAGAGATAGCGAAAGGTTCAACATAGATTATCAGCTTTTTATCATTGAGCAGCAGAGATATATTGAACCGCTCAATGTATCCAGTTTGGAAATCATCTGGGGTGGCATTGTAGAGATGAATTTCAAAAATGGCGTCTAGGATGGGCTTAGTCAGCATATCTACGAGTTTCTTGGTGGCGAGAAAGTTGAATGGTACACAAAACGGCATTCCTTGCTTAAAGAGCGCAATAAGGGCTTTGGTATGAAAGCGAAGAGTAGCTTGATCTAAAATGAGGTGTAGTTTAGGAAGGACTGCCTGAGCCGCTGCCGAACAGGTATCTGGGTTGTATGCAAAAGACTTGATGCAGAAAGCATCTATTTGTATGCACTCTAACCTGTTTGTGTCAACGGATGCAAAGGCCTTGATAAGGCTTGTTAAGTTCAGGTCATGGGTGTTGTAAATCTTCACTACTTTGAAGTACTTGAGGATGGGGCTTTTTAGCAGCAGTTTCTTAATATAATCTTCTTTGACACTATCAAATTCAAGTGTTAGATGAGTGGGGTGGCCGGTTAGGCCCGGACTAGACGAGTACCAGACAGCTTCGGCCGCTATGCTTCTATCTGAAGCCCTTGACGTCTTACGGATTGATCTGAAACTTTGAAGACTCAAGCGCGAGGTAGATTTGTGTAGAGAAGCCGGTTGTGAATTAGCGGTCAGAGGTTTAATGCGAATGACACTAACCCTCTTTTGAGCAAATAAAGCCACGGTTTGAATGGTTAGAGTTTCTATAAGAGTTTGGGTCTCATGGCATTGTGTGTTTCCCCAGGTAAGTTCTATTTCGTCGTACTTAAGTTGAGCATCAGCCCGTGACTCATAGCAACAGGCTAGAATATTCCAATTTTTGGACTCTTCAGCCAGTAAGCTCAAGTTAATTTGTCGGAATGTACTTGGCCGAGTACAACACCTGCTTAGGTCCGTGCATGTATCTCCGAAGTTAAAACAAAGATCCAGGCCATCTAGCGCCTTCTCCGGAAGACCCAAGGGATATTCAAAGACGATCGGGACTTCTGCTTTAACACCCCAACTATTCAGTATATTGCGGCATCTAGTCTCATTGCCAATATAACATTGGGTTAGATAGACGTTTAGCCTAGTAGTTTCAATGAGCTTCAGCTTCCTCTGGTCCAATGAACCAACTTGAATCACATCAGTATGGTCAGCTATATAGCAGTCCATCCCAACAACAGTTAAAGATCGAAGAGCTGTAATCCGAATATTTTGCAGGTAAACCCGAGTTATAGTATCTAAATTAACAACAAGATCAAGACTACTAAGGTCACATTTGTGAGTGATACTATTACGCGCCACTGTCTCGCTACTACCAGGCATCTCAATTACAACCTGCAGCAACGTCTTACTAACCCAATGCCGACACAACTCATTCAGAAGATTAGTGAAGGCTGTTGGGTGTAGATAAGTGCAGAAGCTCAAAGTACACCTCATCTTTCCGATCCAACTTATCAAAGGAACCCAAGACACCGACTGAATTGGCCGGCAGTTTTTAATCGTAAGTTCGCGCAAGACTTGTGTTGTAGCTATCAGATTACACAACGTATCAACAGCAAACGCACTACAATCCTCAATTACCACACACAATCCTCCCTGTACCCTTTTCCGCATCAACTGAATAGCCACTGTCTTCTCCCGTGTGGCCCGTCGCAAGCCATTATAAGAGCAAACCACCGGCGGGCCCGGTTGTTCATTACTAAGCCCGACCAATGTCAGTCGGTTGCACTCACTAATATAAAGCATTCTGGATAACAGCGAAGTCACATCCTTCATATCAACTTTTGATCCTTCCTTGACAATTATCTCTCTCGGACTAGAAATTCTAAGTTCATTCATAATTTCATCAAAATCCAGTATAGTTGCAGTACTGAAAAGCAGATACTCAACTGCATGCTCCTTAGTAATTCGTTTCTTATAACCCTCGAAACTTACATTTCTCGATATTTTTGATTCTTTCTTTTGATAAACTCGGCCTATTTTCATATTATCTATACCCGGATTCAAAGCCGATTCAGCCAAAGAGAACCATCCCATACTAAGCAAAGCACTCCAAACCACCAACCAAGACTTCTTTATACTACCTCTAAAGGATACTGAATAGTTCAGCTTGGCTTCTACCATAGATAACTAAAAATAAAATTACGTATTGCTATCTCTGATCTGCTTGTTGTTTTTATTCATTTAGATTAAATTAGATTATATTGTGTTGGTATTGGGTTAGAATGTGTTAGGGTGTGTTAAGATGAGATAAGATAAGGTAGAGTGAGGTAAGATTGGGTTGAGATAAGATAAGATAAAGTGAGATAAGATAAGATAGAGTGAGGTAAGATTGTGATAAGACAAGATTGTGATAAGATAAGATAAGATAAGCAATGAATTATTCTAATTTGTCTAAATGTGATCTCTTTTTAGATAACTGCCTATAAAAGGAAATACTTCGATTACAGGTGATAATTAAAAGTTGCACTTACAATTACAATTACATTTGTACTTGTACTTGTACTTTTAGTCCCCTTAATAAGAGACAACCCACTAAAACTCAACATCATCTTATCTTACCTTTATTTCATCAAAGTGATATACACCCAACTCAACCCAACCCAATACTAAACCAACCCAAACCAACACTAACATAACATAACCTTATCTTATCAAACCAATACCTACACCAAAACCAACCAAACTACACCAAAACCAACTCAAACCACACTACACCATACATATAACCTATTCTGATGGCTGGCACTTAGGACAGAGCCAATGTCCTCGTGGTGTACCCGTATGACCTACACACTCCATATGGAACCAAGGTGACTCCATATGATAAGCATCACAAGCAATCATATCCCCAAAAGGAGGCCGGCCACAAATACATCCACCTTCCTTATCCTCACCATTCTTCTCCCTTTCTCTTTCTCTCTCCCTTTCTCTCTCCCTTTCCTCTCTCTTCCGACTAGGATTATTCCGATTAGTCTTGAATACTCGTGGATTCTGAGTCTGAATCCCAAACTTAGGCTCATGTTGTGAATCTAGTAATAATAACTGCTGATCTACAGAAGAGAGCATACTATTCACCTGTCCTAAAAGTCTTTTTGAAGCCCCAATCCTTTCTTCTAAGATACCTTTATATTCTAGATAAGCCCGACTAATCCGACTATCTGGTTTTTCAAATGCCTCAGTAATTTTAGTATATTCTATTCCAGCTGCCAAAAACTCCTTTCTACACCAAATTGTGCGATCGTATGAAACTTTGAAATCTTCAATGGTTTGGTTATACAACTCGATCAAAGGCGCTATTTCTTCCAAAACTCTCTCATAAGCCAGTTGTGGGGAACTCTTTTCCATATAGCAATCAAATTTTTTGCTAGTTACTATGGAAGAATACATCGGTGCCAATCTAATTATCAAGACTCCCAATGCTATTCATATAGGTATCTTGCAAAGAATAGACAGTTTAAGCCAAAAACTACATATTGATGTTTCTGGGGCTTTAAAAGTGATAGATCTAAGGGAAATAGATGAAGTTGAGTTATTAGGAGAGGAAGAAGTGCAAAGTTTACAAGAGATAGACAGGCCAATTAGTTCAACTACCAGTAATTCAAGTGCAAATAGTATTTCAAAAACACAATCTAAACCACAATCTCAATCAAAACACATATCTAATCAGTCCAATTCTAATCCAAATCTAGTTCCAGAGGAAAGGAAGCCTAGTAAGTATCAGGCTCAGTTGGATTGGGTAAGTGCCGAAATGTATCAGCAAGTCCTGGAGACATCTGCTTCTATTTATGGACCCTCTAGAGATGAAGTGATCTTCTCTGGAGCTAGAGGGTTATTACATCTAGTGACTAATATTTTCAAATTCTCTGATAAGCATGTTATTATGTATATTGGTAATGGTATCTTTGCTGAGATAGCAATTTCTTTAGCTAGGTTGTGTATTCCTTATGAGGTTGATGTTTCGGTTGTTTTAATGGAAGAACCAACTGCTCGGATGGCTACTCATTTATTCTATTATAAACATTGTGGGGGAAAGATGGCTGAGTGTCGAACCGATCAAAGTGTGATTATTTTAGCTGACGTCATAGCTAGTGAAGCGATGATTAGTCGGGCTGAGAAAGTTATGTTTTTAGGTGAGTATCAGAATATTCCTGGGCTTAATCAGGAAGTGGTTTTCTTTGGGATGCCAATTAATGATCCAGCTAAGTTTTCAGGATCGGCTATTCTTTGTGATATTGGCTTATCTCTAGAAGTCTATCGAGTATTTGGTTTGAAGAAGTATCGGCCTAAGCTACTGCAAAAACTAGCCAAGTAATTAGGATAAGATAGGATTAGTGTTGTTATTTCAATCAGAATAAGTTTGGGTTTGTGTTGGGTTTAAGTTTGGGTTTGTGTTAGTATTGTGTTTGGATTAGGTGATATGAATGAAATAAGATAGGAACATAAAGTAAATATTAAATAGGTTTGCGTTAAGTTTATATTAGATTGTGTTTGTGTTTGGTTTGTGTTTATGTTGGGTTTAGATTAGATTGAGTTTATGTTTATGTTATATTTAGATTAGATTGGGTTTAGTTGGGTTTAGATTATGTTTATATTCTGTTTATGTTATGTTATGTTTAGATTGAGTTTAGTTTGGTTTGAGTTTATGTTGGATTGGGTTTATGTTATGTTATTGTTGTGCATGAGAATTCCCAACACTATTTAATTAGCGGACGAGGAGCGAGGAATAGTAAAGCGTTAAGAGATTAACCTTTATTGTTCGACATCATCTAAGTTACGTGATGTTTCAATCCCAATCCT